TTGGAGTGTGCCCTTTATATAAAAAGCCCAGCCACAAAGACCATGTGGTTAAGTGGGGCTTGTCAACAGGGCAAGACCAGGACAGTGGAGAAAGGAGGGAGGAATTCAGCTCTGAATTGTAACTCTGGGTCATTTTCCCCTTAAGCAAACCTGGTGGGAAAAGCTGGGTTTTTTTCTTCAGAAATTCAAGGAAGAGCTGATTATTTACTTCACAAAAGGATTCGCTTGTGGGGTCCTTTAACTAACAAACTCAGAAAGAAAATTCATAATTTGACTGAATCATATGGACCTTTTTTAAAAATGCATCTCTTCACTGTATGCATATGTAGCTATGTAAGGGTCTACTTATTGCTGGACCCATTGCAAAAAGGGATTTGGGGGTGATGTGTCTGTGGAGTAGATTAGATGAGCTTGCAAGTACGGTGTTTGTTGGGTAGCCTTGTTTCCAGCCTGTTCTGTGAACTCCTAAATTACTCCACGAGTAATTAGGCAACCAGATTAAACCCTCCTACTTCTGAGGCTCCAGCCAGTGGGATGTCACAACCTCTCTTTGTCCTTCCCAGAGAAATTGGCAACACAAAGACTAGAACTATCTCATGGGTTTTGTTTTGTTTTGTTATGTTTTGTTTATGAAAGGGGGGGGGATATTTTGACAGGATCTTGCATGTCACAAGCCTCCCAGTTACCTAGGATTAATTTTTAAGAATTATTTATTACATGTAGGCCATGTCCCTGGTACTGTTCTAGCTACTCTGACACGCTGTGGCTTATTTACCCCTCACTCTATTTGTGAGACGAATAATGGAAGTCATGAGGATAATGCTGAATTTACTTCATCTGCTAAATCATAACAGCTGGATTATTTTTCTCAGCTCTTCCACTTTGGAGGGAAAAAATAGTTCCTAATGGAAGCAGCTTTGTTTTATGTATCTTTGGCTTATTAAAGAAATATGTGTTCATCCTAAACAATTTGGATAATAGAAGAGAAGGAAGAAGAAAGGACAAATTACCGATTATCCCATCAACTGTATATCTCACTACCGTTAATCCTTTAGTAGTCAGTCTTTCCAATGTTTTTTCTGTATGTTTATGCAAGGAAATACTACATATATACATATATATAGATGTATATATATGTATATATGTTTTAAACTTTTTTTAAAAATCTACCTTTTTTTAAGTTAACAGTATATATCATGAACATTTTCCCATAGAAAAATTGAGACCTGCAGCACTATTTACTAGAGCAGCAGAGTATAATGCTTTAAAAATATACCAACATGGGGGCTGGCAGGTGGTTAGGGTGCTAGACTCCCACATGGCCAGCCGTGGTCCAAGTGCTGGACCTAGCAGCTTGCTTCCTCACCTTCTCTCTCTCCCTCTCTCTGTCTCTCTCTGGTGAGCGTGTGGGTCCTCTAGCAAATTAAAACAATCATGATAGTAGTAAATAAAATGAAATCATGTTTTTTAAAAAAGGAAATATACCAACATTGTTTTATCCGCCTGCTATGGTTGGACTTTTAGACATGATGCTATTTATAAACAAAGTATCTTCCCACTTTTCATATGCTTCTTTTAAAATATACCCATAAAGATGCATATACATCTCTGCACAATTGCCATGATTTTCTTAGGAAAAATTCCTAGCAGTAGGATTGTTGGATTAAAGGCTATGCACATATTAACTTTTGTTACATTTTGCCAAAATGCCTTCCAAAATGTTTGAACAGATTTCTATTTCCTGTTCTTCTGCACCTTTGCTCATTTGCTCTATCCCTTCGGGGAAGTCATTTCTGCTCTGTGGCTCAGCTTTCTTGCCTCTGACATGGGTGTGAGAATACAACAAATCACACTTAACATTTATCGAGCACACACTGAGTGCCAGACTATGTGCAAACACCTTACAGAAATCAGAATCATTTAAATCTCACAATGACCCTAGGAGAAAAGTTCTTATATCCCTGTTTTACTCGTATTTGCCCCATTTCTGAGGCTCAGAAAGCTTTAGAAACTGGCCTGAAGGCATCCAGCAAAAAAAGGAAAAAAAAAATGTCCACATTGGGATCCAAACCCAGTTCTATTTACTTCCAGAACTGGGACTCTTGCGCCCAAGGCCCTGCATTCCCTATTCCCAGTGAGTGGGTTAAAGTCTGGTAGCTGAATACAGAGGGTAAGGCTGCCCAGCCTTAGTGCACACTGCCAGGCTGTTACTGTTGCTCAGTGGAGAAAGACTGCCTCCTGGCAGTGCTTATCTCAGTGCGTTCACAGCAAGGACAGATCTTCCAGAAGGTTGAGGGAGTTTCCCCTGAGTACAAACTAAATGTCTTTTCATTTTTGTTTTTGAAGTGTGGAAGCATGTTTTCAAAGTCAGCACCATCTCCCACACTGAAATCACAGATCTTAAACAAATCTCCCAACCCACGATCTTCTCAGTCTCTGGTCATCTCTCCAGAGTGCATGAGGGGAACTGCCATCTCCACTTCTCTAGACCTACCAACTTGAGTGACTCTTGTTTTTGTTTTTGTTTTCTTTTTCTTTTTCTTTTTAATTTGCTATAGGATGCATGTGCTTGCCAGAGAGAAAGAGTGAGAAAGCATCCCTAGGGGGATGACCATGCTGCAATCCCTTCTCCCCCATTCTCCTCCTAGAATTTTGGGCATGCCCGGCACGTGGGTTTTTTTTTTTTTTTTTTTT